TGCAAAGGAGATTAGATGCAAAAGAGATTAGATGCAACTTCATCAAAATGGATTTTATGTAACGCTCTTACATGAATGGAATACATGTTCGAAGCAGTGCACAGGAGATTAGGCGACCTGATGAAAATGGAACCGTAAATATTTAATGTAATGCTCTTTACATGAATGGAATACATGTACGAAGCACTGCAAAGGAGATTTAGGCTACTTGATCAAAATGAAACTATAGTTTTGATAAGTGAACCAGGCAGGGAAGATGACTGACTGACTGATGATGATGTCTTCATACTGCTTTAGTACATGTCGCTGAAGATCAATGCCCAGTGGATAATGAATGGAAGTTGATCGTATAAGCTTGTAAATGTACCTGTCTGGTCAGTTCGGCAGGAATACATGTACCGTAAAACCTAGGTACCACTCAGAGGAGACAAAATGTGTGTTCTTCCTACATGTACTTAGGTCAATTTTCTCTTGATTTCAATAAGAAACAGTTTTCAAGGTAAATAATAAAAACCTTGGACATGTATGATATATATTCATGTTCATAGCCCACAATTCCATGCAGAAAAATACATGGACCAAATTCTTATTTCTCAATTTTGAAAGAAATACTGATTGAGAATACAGGCAGACAAGGTACATGTAGAAAGTGGACACCAGTACTGCCCACAGAACACTGTAATTGGTAAATGAAGAAAAGTAGGTCTTTATGCATGCCTTAATTGTGATCAATTTGATTATGATGCATTTCAGAGCAGTCTGCTGAAGATGTTCTCCTCATTGCAGTACTTTGCTGCAGTTTCATACTGGAGTCATTCACACACAGAGCCACATGCAAGATTCAAGAATTGTTTTTTAAGCGTGATCAGAATCTCGCCTCTTTGTGTGTGTCAACCTAAGAATCTCATTAATTAGTGAGATACAGTACTGTGATTATGATTGAATAATCACTTTTAGTGCATTTTTTGTGAATAATGGCAATTTGTTTTGTTTGAAGGTCAGATGAACACTTAACTTGTATGTTATAACTGCAGTAAGTTAAGGGAAGTGAGGATAACAAATTGATGTTTTACATCCTACAAGTAAACAGGTGTGAAACAAAATTGTGTTTAAAACCCCGCAATATGCTTGGGTACATGTATGAATGGGCCTATTATTTCTTAGATGGCCCAAAATATGTAAAATTTGCCAAACGTGTCCTTGTCATATATGACTGATGGAGAACAAAAATGTGCAGAACTTGGGTGAGTGTTCAAAATTCAAATCATAATTCAAATCACACTTATTGCTTATTTTGTATGGGGCCTAATAATTCTTTAATTTATGAGCCAAAATTAAGAAATCGCCCAGACAGGTCCTTGTAATTTTGCTGCTGGAGAGTGAAGAGTGCAGGCACCTGCGCGAACGTTCGTGACTCAAATGGCATCTGGATTATGATTTAAGTCTCACTTTCTGCCTGTGTGAATGGGCCCTGATGTTTCTTAAAAATGAGAAATCACCCAGACAGGCGCTTGTCATATCGCTGATGGAGAGCGAAGAGTGCAAGCAAATGGGAGAGTGATCCATTGATTAGACTTTATTGCTGACAGCGGAAACCTAAATTGTTTGATGGAAGCTGTGAACTTGGGAGGGAATCTCGTGGTCTCGGTCGAGACGCGAAGATGGCAAATTGCAATTCATGTTTCATTCCGCATTGATTTAGATAGATTGTCTTAAGTATTTTCCGTCATGATTTTGAACCCTGGCTCGGAGCAGGCTGCACTTTCGTATTAGAGTGGTTTACTACATGTATGTTTGGGTGCATTTTGTTATGTTGTAATGTACTTTCTCAGGCTTTGTTTTACACAAGATTGATGCATTTCTCAAGTTATTTATATCACAAAGCTAGTGTGTACAATGTACTTTACATGTACATGTAGTTTGTAAAAATGAAAGGTCATTTTTAGATTGGATTGATTCATATGACATGAATACAGAAATGTGATCAAATATCTTTGAAATTGATTAATATTTAATAATTGCAAAAGTTTTCAAAATCTTATCTATGGGGGGGGGGGGGGGGGGGGAGGGGATGACCTTGAGCAAGAACTTTTTAAAAACATTTACAAATGTATATACTGTACATGTACACATGTACATATAGGAAGGGAATAGAGTTTACAGTGTCTGTTCAGAAACCAAAAGGACGTTGACTCTTTGTAAAAGTATGTGACTGGCTCTGAACAAGTGACATGATCTCATGTCAAAAATGTGTACACATACTGTACAATATATGACTTGTTCTAAGGTTTGAAAACAAAACTATGAGAAATGTGCATGTACATTGTACAGTAGGCTGCATGGACAGGTTGGTTATTTCATCTGTGTCAAAATAAAGTCCTAGAATGTCTTATGGTGAGGAAAAGACCTGTGGATCTTCCATGTTCAATAATTTATGGTTAGAGGATGTAACATGAATGTTGTATGCTATCTTTAGCTTCACAAATAAACTTGGTGTCAGCTGGGAAAATGGAAGAGAGAGAGAGAGAGAGAGAGGGGGGGGGGGTAGAGCGAATCATGCAAAAAAGAACCAAACAAGTCAGGCAAATTGATAGCAGAGAGATGGAGGGGGAAGGGGTTGTTATGATAACAAAAATGAGTAGCATGAGAGAAGTTTTTAATTTATAAACACACCATCTAAATTGTACATTTTACATCTATTTTTGATATGGTCGTGCACAAACAGATAAAGTAAGGACAGCTCATGCAAAATTCATGGTAACAGTAAAATATTAGCTGTACCGATTGTGATGTACATGTATACACGTACAAATGTACATGTAGGCTGCCAAAAGACACTTCACAAGATAATATCAGTTTGAGGATTATTGTTTGTCACTAGGTTACTACATAGTACATTGTACATGTAGGCATGAAATGTTATCAATACATCTGTTTTCGCTCTGTGAGGCAGTAAGTCTTTCCGGTGATTGATTTTTATCCTTTTAGGAAGCTGTTGAGTTTCATGTGCACAGTATGTAACTGTATACATACATGACATTTAGAATTTCAAGACACCTGTAAATGTATACATGTGACAGGTGTCTTTAAATGTCATTCTTTGTCTTCTGCAGAGGATATACATGTACCGTATTTGCCGGCGTAAAGGCCGCAGTATTTTTGGAAGAGAAAATATCAAAAAGTTGGGGTGCGGCCTTTACGACGAAAGAGTAAAAAAAAAAAAGTCAAAACCAGCACGAATTTGCACGTATGGGACTAGATCTACTAACGGTACAATAACTAGATTGTACAGGACATTTAAACACATCTTACCGACAGTTTTATCTTGCATTGTTGACATGAATACGAAAATAAATTGCTAAACCAACATTTACCGATAGATCTTGATCTAAGTTCGTGCCAATGCATTGCAAAAGTAAAGGAAGGGACCATTTAACGAAGCTGCCGCGAAGCATCCATCCGAAGTCGCCATTTTGTTTTTCCATTTCATGCAGTTTCGCATTACACCGTACATTGTGGTAGGGGTATCGGACACCAAATCTGCCCGCGATCACTTTTTGAGCTAAACTTCCGGTAAATGATAAGAATATTGATGAATTTGGTATCAGTTTGTAAAAAAAAAATAGTGTTTTACAAGAAAATTACGATTATTTTGTTTTGTCCGTTGGGTTTTTTTTTTTTTTTTTTTTTTTCCTCTTTGAAATGTCCAAGTTGGGGGTGCGGCCTATGCGGCGGTGCGGCCTTATCGCCGGCAAATACGGTATCTATTGAGAGCCAGAAGGGTGTTATTAAAGAGACTGTTGGGTTCTGGTAAAGATAGAAATGATTTGATAGCTTTCTCATTCGTTGTGTGTTAGTTTGGAAAAATATCAATTAAGAAATGTCCGTGAACAGATTGCCTCTTATACTCTCATATTTGAACGATGACACACTGTTTTTTTGTCCAATATAAATTAACACAAATCAAATTCTTTGTGCATTGCGTTTGATTTTCAGCAAGAGTGCTTCGTTTTCTTGTCATTTTCGACATTAAAAATCCTCACATAATATATAATTTCTTCTATGTTACCAGTATGTAATAAACCTTGATCATTGCCGAGTACGCTTCATCTGCAAGAATCTTCAGTATTGAAGTATTGAAGGAGGCAGATTATCTTGAAGAAGAAGAAGAAGAAGAAGAACACTGTCTTTTATAATGTAAAGGCATTACCATCTACCAGTACTCAACTTTTCCCTTTTCTTGATATGAAAAAAAGGATATTCTTAAACTCACTTCAAGTAGTGATCTATGTGATGAAGTTAATGCAATTGAGATTAGAATATACTTTTTTGGTGGACAGTTGCTAAAATCGATTTTGATTTATCATTATTGATTTACCAATTTGGAGCCAGAAGGGCGATAACTCATTTACTTTAACAGAGAGTTATTGCCACAAAATCATGTAGTTATACCATACTGGTTGTTAGCAAACAAACTTTTTCTTTCCGAGCCAACTGTCAAAGTGACCCCCCAAGTATGGAGCGGAGTTGAAGGATTATTTTTAACCATCACAAGATTTATTTATAAGCACATGTCGCACTTGTATATGTGGAAGTACATTCATATGTACATGTATGGTATTTGTGAATGATGTCTTAAAATACATTTGTAGTTGAGTCTTCCCGTACAGTTCATGGTGACAATGGAAATGGGTTGGCATTGGTGTTCGTGTGTAGTCTATATTACAAGCAAAGTCATGAAGGCTCATTTCTAAAAGAACATTTTTATTGGAAGGGGGGGGGGGGGGGCTTGGCGTTCTAGCACATTTTCTACAATCTACATGTGCCTGAATATTTTGTTTTGTTGTTGGAGGGGGTAGGGGGTGCTTGGGCCCCTATGCCCCCTTCTAGAACCACCACTGCCTGCATGCATGAGGGACTTCACATTTATAGCTCAGTAGTGGCAGTATACAGACGAAACAAGAAAAATTCATTTTTACATTTTTCTCTCTCTTCCGCAGAAGTCCTCGTCTGGTGGGACACAAGACGATGTCAGCACCACCAGTAGAGACTCCAACAATAGCTCCAACAGCAATAGCAACACCAGTCTTCCAAGCATTGCTGCCTCATCCACCACATCCACCACCGCAACAACAATGAACTACACCACCTCGACAGCGGCGGCGACCGGAAACATGCGCCTGCCCATGTCGGACAAGAGGGCACTGTTTCAGGAGAAAGTGCGGCAGAGCAACGAGGCGTGTCAGAACGCCGACTTCCAGCGGGCTATACGCCTCTACACCGAAGCGCTGGACCTCGATCCGGCCAATCATATACTGTACAGTAATCGGTCCGCGGCGCACGTGAAGCTCAAGGATTTTGAGAGGGCGCTCACGGACGCAATCAAGGCGAGGGAACTAAATCCAAAGTGGCCAAAGGTAGGAATTGTTATGATTTATTCATTTTTTAATATTTTTTTTAGCTAAGCAGATAAGAAATGGCAGCATCCTCTTTAGCAGGTTTTATGACAGTGTTTACTGGCATATGAAATGTTTAATTATACTTTGATAAAAAAAGTGACACTGTTTCTTTAATTTTGTTTTCTTCTCTTAGTTCTAATTTTTTCTTTCAATTCAACCATTCACATCATAAACGACTTTGTAAGAAAATTATCAAATTACTTTTAAGACACTGCAGGATCTTGCATTTGTTGCGCTGCTTTCTGCAAATCTGCACCCAGAGTGCATAAAGAATATTGCTGCAACATTTATTTGTAGCCTCAATATCATAGCAATATCACACAAATGAACTTTGACATATTCTAACTGCATAAAACCTTTCTTGATCAGTGGAAATGACAGATGGTGTATGATACCCTTTTCTAACTGCACTCTATCGGAGTCACACCGATGAAAATACCGATTGAATTTTCCTTATGTAAACAAAGGTGAAACCGCAGTTTTCCCCCTGTCGGTTTCTAACTGCCGGTGAAATTCACTCGCTGTGGCGAGCCCTCGCCGGAAGTGAAGAATTATTACGTAATTATTAAGCCCGCGCTCCATCTAGCTAGCATGCAGCTTGTTTAACCATAAGTCAACAAACACAGCTGGTTACGGTAAAGCGCGCGTATACTGCGACCTTTGACCATTTTAATCGCTTTTTTAATCGCCCTTTTCTCCAGAACGTTTTCTAACTGCACGTTTCATCGGTGTCACACCGATAGAATGAGAATTTCTCCTGCTCTAGAGCAGGAGAATTTAATCGCCTATTTCTCTTCTTTTCATCGGCTATTTAATCGCCTTTTTCTCCTCTGTTGCTTTCTAACTGGCACTTTCATCGGATGCGTCCGGATGCATCCGATGAAAATCGGTGCAGTTAGAAAAGGGTATTAGTGACAGGCCTAACTACCCCACTTTTTTCTTCCAAAATGGGCTATGGAGCGCTTTCATAGGGCAAGTCCAAGCCCCACATGTTACCTAATGACATGTGATAATGACCATAGTATCACCATCTTTCATTGCTTATCTGATCCAAGACGAGGTAAAGTTATCAACTTCATACACTCATCAGGTAATAGGCAGGGCTCTATACAGGCCAAGGGCCACCATACTGCACCATCGGGCCACCAAATATTCTAAAGCAAGAGTTTAGTCATTCAGTTACAAGTTTTGCTGTTTTCTTGATTATAGCAATCTGTATTTACTTGATTGCACGATTGTTTTCCCAGGATTTCTTTAGTTTTATCTCAATTTTAGATTGATATATAATGAGAAATAAAAAAGATTGTAGGGAAAATATATCTAGTTACTCGTTATCAATAAAGTAAAGAATGAAATGTCCCAGAAGGAAGTGAAGGAAATGCTATATTTTAATGAAGCTTGTATAAATGTACCGTAGTTGTATAAGAGAGCAAGTCTGGTACAAATATTATGCCGTGATTAAACAATTTTGCGTATGACTACTTCCCGATCTAACTCTATTAAAGCTAGTAAAATGATCCTAGTCATTACTGCAAAACAAAATCATTCCGACTTCACGTCTACCATCAGACACAGCATTTAGTCATCTCATTTTAAATCTTTACTTTTGATTCCATAGTCCTCATTCAATCAACTGAAATTCCACACCTTCAGAATGTTTACACAAGCATCCATAAATATATTTGTTCAAACATTTCACAATGGACTCCCTTTCGTCATAATCAAATGGCCCGGTCTAGAACTCCACCCCATACAAAGTTACTGTAGCGGCAGGCATGTGACCCCATACCCAATCGGCTGGCTGGCACAGACTTGCGCCCGAAGCGACAGCCCCTCTGCCACTGCTCATAAAAAAGTGAACACATATCGAGCAGCGTTTATACACGTTGCCGTGGTAATGACCCTTCGCCTGAAGGGGACACCCTTACAAGTGTATTGGCTTGTTAGATCTCTCTCTGTCTCTTAGAAGGAAGGGCAGTAGAGGTGCAACGAGAATCGGGGAGGGTGGGCACCGGTAGTTTACTGTCAGGAACTTTTCAGAAAAAAAATTGTTAATGATTGAAAGAAAATGCACTTCACTTACACGTTGTAGTGTTTACTGCAGTATGTGTAAACAACATCACACATTTATTAACCCTTTAAGCTCATGATTTATTTTTAGGGCTAAATTGATCACATATTGATCTTCAAATTGGCAACAATGATATTTGTTTTTTATCACTACAATGATAAAATAAAATGCAATGTCTCGAAAACAATATACACAGACGAGAATGTTGTCGAAATGTTTTTAAAGATCATCAGTTTTGATCGAAAGACAATGATTTTAATCTCTTAACCTCTCCCAACATTGTTGCTAATTTAAGGATAAAGACTTGTTTTCCTTTTTAAAATTCCTTGTATCAAATGGAGTATAGTCATGAAACAAAGATAGATGCAGTGTGTGCAGAAATATTTGCCCTTTCTACTTGTGTATCTGGTATTTTTTTTAGAGCTCAAATTCATAATGATCAAACCACAAAATATGGAATAACTGTCGCAAAAAGGTTAAAGCAAGGTACATGTAATACCTAGCAAGGTAATACCTGAAAGGGGGAGGGTGTGGGGGGGGGGGGGTAAAGGGGTATTGTTAAGTGCATGCTTACATTTAATCTTTCTATAGACATTTCTTTTTATATTCTACATGAGATTATTTTATCCATGTAGGTCTAGTCATTTGAAACACAAATACATGTACATGTATGCGTTTCGATGCTTTAATTTTTAAAAGGATGTAAATGCCTATTTACAATGTACAACAACCATAAATGACACTACATTTGATAATTAAACTTTCTAAAGTAAAGTTTCAAAAGAGAGTTTTCCCAACTTGGCAAAAATGCATCCTTTTTTTTCTTTTAAATTCGAAAAAGTTGTAAATGATTTCAAATTTATGCAAAGAACAAACAAGACTCTCTGTTTAATTTCCACTTACAAGTACAATGTCTACCGGTAAACTGAATTACCAAATGGAGAAAAAATAGAACACACAAAAAAACATACCCCCAAACATGATCTGGGTGAAGTTACAAGTCCTTGATCTTACTTGGAGTATGGATCTTCTACATCACTTGTTTTCTAGTTTAGGGTTAGCACGTTGATCTGCAAACAATGCCTCGTACATGTTAATGAGCTCATTGATATTCTGCATTTGCTGTGTATCTTTTTTGCAATTACCGATTTGTCACCGGCTGCCTGCAAGAAGACAGTAACAACCATTGTCAATATCAGTAACGGCCCTCTTGCAGGCAGGCAGGCAATGTACTTCAAATACATGTACGTTATTGTCTCCACATCTTTCAATGAACTCTTTCAATTTTCCTTGATATTCCATTTTCTGCTTATTTGTTCATTTAGCATTGGAGTCAATAAAGAGTTCTTTTTGTTTTCCATTCTTCTTGCATTCTTCTTGCATTCATGCTTGACCCAATTTCTTTTTTCTTTCTTAGCAGCATATATTTAGATGGTCTTGTTAATAAAAAAGGGGAATTCTTAACAGTTTTTAAACAGGTGGGGGGGGGGGGGGGGAGCAAAGAAGCTATACTCTGTAGATATAACTATAAGCATGTACAATTGCTTATTTGTTCTTGTTCCTTTCTTTTGAATACATGTGTTATATGAACAAAATACAACTAAAATTAATATATTTGTACTCTGGGAAGCGCCAAAAGCTAATACATATATCAAACATACATGTACATGTACAGGTATATACATTTGAAAATGTCACATTTAGTCCCTGTCAATAAAAAATTTTTTTTTCAAAGTGTGGCGTTCACCTGACAACATTGTTTAAATTTCATCACCCTCTGATACAGTTATTGAATCATATCACAATCTTTAGTTTGTAAAAGTTTGATACACTTGTCTCATTCTGGTCTTCGTCTCAAGAGCCTCTGTGACACTGTTGACAGAAATTATCAAAGTTTGTACCTCTTTGTGCAAATTTGCTACAATCAGATCTCGTAAAAGACCAAAGTTTCTCAGCTTTGCTGAAGTGATAGCTCTGTCAATACACTCCCAGTCGAAGTGTGAAAACGATTCAGAAAAGGACTATTTGATAATGCATGAAATATTTGATTTGTAGCTGCTACAAAGGGCAATTTATCTTGTGAAAGCCGGCTTTAGAAATTGTATGCGTTTTGACCTTGAGTTACTGAAGATTGATGCCTCGTTGTATGAGTTTTTTAGGATGAAACATTTTAATTTTTTTCTTTCCACTAGTGAAATTAAACAAACAATAAATCAAAGAACTACAGTATAGAAGGAAATGTGTGGAGTTTGAATACACAGTAATGCACATGTAGGCATACTATAATTCTACAAGCATATATATTGGTCTTTGTTACATAATGAAGCAAAATCACACCCACAATTACGAACTACATCATCATAACTGCATATTTAAAGAACTTCCATTAGTGTTTCATTGCTAAACTAAGGAAACATATATATTGTACATAATGTACACACCCTCAAGAAAGATTTTACCGAGAGTCCTTTTCAGGACTCCTCAATCCTTCCTCTCTCTTACATGGTGCATCTGCAAGCCTTCTGTATATCTACATCACCATGCAAGCCAATACTTATAAGCAGCATCTAATAATGTATATTGTACACTTAACAAAACAAAAAACGATAACAGTCTACTGTATTTGGAACAGCTTCAAAAGTACATTTAATTGGTCGATGCAATTGTTACTGATGATGAGGCGGATAAGTAAGGTACATTTTGTATGCAGCTTCTGATATCAAAACCAGTAATAATGTTTACTCCAAATTTAATCGATGACCCTGTATTATATAGCACACCTATAGGACAAATAGTCAATACTAAACTGTGTGTAAAAGCCCCCTGATTGTACTTGTCCGTTGCTGAAGGCCCCCAAGCTATTGATTATTTCACCCTGGAAAATCTACCCGATTCAAGGGAATTTTTTGTGCATAGGAGAATCTGGAACAACCCTTCAGTTTGGGAGCTGCAGTGCAGAACACCCCCATTGATTTATGCTGTAATGAGGGCTAACGCATAGCTGAGGCTGTGATAAATAGATCAATGAGTTATTGAATATTTAGGGTTTTTTGAAATGTTTGAAGTGGTGAGTCTCTGTCATGAGGAACTGTTAGAATTTTCTCAATATTGTCTGTCTCCAAATACACATGTACATGAAGGTGTCACGAAAGTTAAAAGAATAGAGATTAAAGTTGTATTGTCAACATAATTATACAGAGATTCATTGTCCATTGGTCTTACATGCAACATAAAATACATTTGACAAAACATCATACCGTGTGCTGATTGGAAGCACATTGTAAGGTGACGCAATGT